AGAAGTTGGGTTTCAACCTCTCCAGGCCGAATCTGTTTGTTCTCTTAGCAGTCCATAATATACTCAATACTCTTCTCCAGAACTACAACTCAAAGGCATTGATACTTCTTTTTTTTAGTGTAACCATAGTTGTATTTGCATACTTCTTTTATTATGCTTAGAAATTGTCCATCTCTCTCATGTATAGCAAGTAATTATAAAGACCATGGCATGAATGAGATAGACTTTAGGTTGCAGACTGACATCGTTGATCTTCAGTACTCTGGAGAGGTCCCTGGCAGCAAATTTTTCCAATGCAGTTTGCTTTTGATTTCCTAGCTGTTGGTGCCTAGACTGTTGACTGTGGAGCCAAGCAAGCTAAAGCTGTTAACAACCTCAATCTCTTCACCATCTATCATGATGCTGCCAATTGACCCGTGGTGAGAATTTTTGTTTTCTTAATGTTGAGCTTCAATCCATATTGAAGACTACCATCCTTAATCTTCTGCAGCAAATGCATCAAACCATCCTCAGTTTTGGCAAGCAAGGTTGTGCCATCTGCATAACGCAAGTTGTTGATGAGTCTTCCTCCAATCCTGATGCCACATTCCTCCTCATAGATTTGTTCTGCATATAGATCTGATGATTTGTTCTGCATGTAGATTGAAAAAATATGGAGATAGGATGCATTCCTGGAGTACACCTTTTCTAATTTTAAATCATGTGATATTTTCTTTCTCTTTTCTGATGACTGCCTCCTGATCCAAGTATAGGCTTCACATAAGCACAATCAAATGTTCTAGGATTCACATTCTTCTCAAAGTCAGCCACAACTTGTGGTGATATATACAGTTAAATGCCTCTGCATAGTCAATGAAACATAGATAGACATTTCTCTGGTACTCTTTACTTTCAGCTAAGATCAATCTCTGGAAGCAGGAGCGGCATCCACTTCCAAAATGGCTTGCCTCTGGAAACTCTATGTACGAACAGTGTTCAGGCTGTTCGTTCAGAGGGTCCCTATGAGTCGTCTACGACTCGACAGCATTAAACAACAACAACAACAAGATCAATCTAACATTGGCTATAATGTCCATAGTTCCAAAGGCCTCTTCTAAATACAGCCTGAACATCTGGCAGTTCTCTGTTGATCTGGTGTTCCAGTAGTTTTTAGATAATTGTCAACAAGACCATCCCCAAACTGTTCAGGTCTTGGGATAGTGTTCAAGGCATTAAACTCTTCTTTAGATAGTCTCTAAATTCAGGCTGGATGTACTCAGCTTGAACTTTGGCTCTCCTAGACTTGTTTTAATTTTTTGCACCTTTAAGTTGAATGTGCTTTGGAGGAAGTTATAATCTAGTCCACAGTTGGCATGTGATTTTTGTTCTGACAACATGATATTGAGCTTCGCCACCAGCTCCTACCACAAATATAGTTTATTTGATTCGTGTTGGTTCCACCCTCCAAGTAGACCTGCTTATCTCCCACATTTTTGTTATAACCATCTTTCTAAAATGTACATCTGGCATATCACTCTCCTGCTTTCCCTGCTCAAAATCCTTTTCTTTTTCTCCGCTGATCTTCAGGATCTTTCACTATCTTGACCTGTGTTGTCCAACGTGGGGCTTATATGCACATGTAGCACTGGAATGTGGCTGTCTGAGTTGAGTATGATGTCCACATGCATACTGGATAGTAAAGATTTTTGTAGGATGAAAATAAAGTAATATTTTCCTGA